TATATATATATATATATATATATATATATATATATATATATAATTAATACATCTCATTAATACAGTTAATCTCATCTCCCTCTCACTCTCTCCTTCTTTCTCTCTATATATAGAGAGAGAGACGAGATTAATTCTGAAACTGTATTAATCCTTTTTTCTGATTCTGATACTGGATCGTACTATGGCCGCTCGCTATCTGCTTGTCTCCTTTACTCCGGTTTTGTCGAATCTACGATAGTGATTGAATGAGATGCTGCTTTCGAGCACTATGAATTAGAAATTTACGTACATATTGTATATTATGGCTTTTCATACATAACTTTGAAGGGTCAGGAAGTCAAATGCAACCTCCTTTAAATTATACAAATCTCACGTTTTCAATGTATTTACTCATGTCGTCGCTCCCAGAATATAATGTATCGTGGTCCCTTACACGAGGTCAAGGACCGTATCGTGATTTGACTAGTACATTCTCTCCCTTATTCTTTTTGTTTCAACCATACACTAGCTCTAATTTCCTTTCGCTTCTTAGTAATTGTCAGCACCAACCCCACGCATTGAAAGTCAACACCTGATCATGGAATGTCGAGTAATAGTAGTAACACAAACAAAATGTCTCACATATTTCAGTGAGAATCTAAAGCCCTTACTTAGTGAGATTTTGAAGTTTTTCGAGTAAGTTTGCTTCAAACTGGTTTTATTTGATATGGTTATGAGCACGTGCATATATTGAAAATTAGTCTCAAGGCTTGTGTTTTGTAATGAGAAATATAATAAAAATGAGCTTACAATCGTGATGCTTGGACAAGTCTTCATTACTGGCCAAGTGTTTCTTACGATTTGTTTGTATTTTTATTAACACTTCTTCCTTGAATGTATTTCATGCTTTCATTATATAGTTGTTTTTTATCACTTTGTTTATAATATTTTGCTATTTTAATCACGTGAACTGCACTTGCAATGCTAGCGGACCGTTTATTTGCAATGCCATACGATTTTTATAAACTCTAAAAATAGATACCATTGCATCGACTTTTGTATACAAAGTGCACAAGTGTATCACTCTCTAATTCTCTTCTGTTCGCAAGAGTCACGCTATTATTTTGGAAGAGGAATTTATGGAAGGCTCGGTATTCGTAACTACAGGAATATTGGTATTTTTATGAAGTCTTCAGTCTTATAGAGTGCAGAGAGAGTGCACTTAAATATAAATTATTACAACGCAAATTTCTATGTCACTTTCTCCTTCAGGTAGGTCTCCTTGCACATAATTTGAAAGTTTAATTCCTTTTACGACACTTAAATAAGCAGAGGTACATAATCTGAAATTGTAAAATATAACGATATCGGGAGTACTACCATGTGATATCACATCCTGAATCCACACAAATGTCATTCAAGCGATCGCTTTGCTTTAGAAAGAGAAGGTATTATTCAATCATGTCATAAAAAACGGGTACTACTTGCTCTTCTAGAATGCTTTCTGAGGCCTCAGTTTTTCCCTTTTCCAGTTTTGCCAAAGAAACTATGGCCGCACACATCGTATACATTACCGGAAATTTTCGAAAAAATTTGTTAAGATCTCTAATGTCTTCGGCATGAACTGCTCGAAAATTAACACCAACAAGCGCTAAATATCATATGGAGTTCAACTTGCCGATTTCCAAACCATAAAGAAGACGATAATGAATAAAAGCAATTCTGAACACCAGTAATACAGTGCGACTAGGAACAGAATCAAATATGACTTAAAAAACAATACGATTGATAAACAGAAGAAGTATCCCTCGATCTAGCACTTAATTAATAAAGTAAAAACGACTCAGGGCTTCAGGAAATTATGACTTAAGCCTACAAATAAAGATAAGCCACCCGTTTCCCGCAAATATTACGAATATTATTACATATAAGGTACTTCTCAACATCCCACATTTAGTCACAGGTCCTGTAGCTAGCCGCATATGTTTATATGACTCACTAAAAACTAAATATAGCCTGTTTCACAAGAACAAAACAGTCATGTAATTGATTAATTTCGAACATACAGCAGCAATTTGATTTCGTATAGTAAGAGGTAGATAATATAAGCAAAAATTATATTCTACAAATCACACTAGAATAAAGCAAGGAATTAAACCTAATGGTTACTTACAATGCTCAACTTCATAGCAAACGGCATCCCATCCTTCGGCACTCGGTCCAAATTTATACACTAATTTCTTTGGATAAAGACCTGTTTTTGGTACTGGTACCAAAATTTGTTTCTCATAATATGTCCTGCAAATGGAAGATGAGATATACTACCATTGGAAAGTTATCGATTTATAGCATGTGAGGCGTTGCGAATTAACCAAATGAATTAAGCTGATCTCTGATCACCAAATATGTGCAATATTTTCACGTATTCCTCCCAAACATTTTAAAGAGAATTTGTTTTCGTAATTACACTTATTTTAACAAATAAAATCAACACTTCTCCACTTTAATATGGAATGATTCACATATTTAACTTTTTAAATGCAAAGCATTGCAAAATTTAACCTCATGGCCCTACTGAGTTTTTCGTACGTCATTTTCTGATTGTTTTTCTTTTCACCCCAGAGTCGAGCCAACTTTTCAGATTCAACGATACGGAAAACGCCTTCAGCTGGGTCTTCCCACCTAAAGAATTGCTAAAAGCTCACAAATTATACAAATTATTCTTGGTATCAAAAATCAACGATATGTAGGATAAAATCCATCACTAATATTTGAAAACAATATATATATAAAATAATGCATGCGATCAAATTGCTACCAATGTGCCCAACTGGAAGGCGGCGACCCTGACAGTTTATAACTTCATTAAGAAGAATACTTCCTTACATCCAGATCTCTAGAATATAACAAGAGGAATTCGTTTAAATGGGGCGGAGCAGGACCCATGGTTTCACAAAGAGACGACGCACCCGATTCTAAAAGATGCCCGAGCAAAAGCTGCGACTTCAGACCAATAACCTGAATGTCAAACCTATACAAGTTGACAACAAAATACGCAATTAGATATTGCCACGAGAAAACTATTGGCAGATAACTAGTTAGGAACT